TTTATCTTTTTAAACTTATTGTTTATCTTTATGAATAGTATCTAATATTTAAGGAGGGCCTGAAATATCGAAATTAAAAGTGTTTTAATTTTTATTAAAATCTTGGGGAAAAGGATACTATGGTTGAACAAAATTTGGTTATTATGAAACCCCAATTCCAAAAGGAGGTTATAATTGACCAGGAAGTCCTAAAGGAAGTGATTATTGACCAGGAAGTCCTAAAGGAGGTTATAATTGACCAGGAAGTCCTAAAGGAGATTATTATTGACCAGAAAGTCCTAAAGGAGGTTATAATTGACCAGGAAGTCCTAAAGGAAGTGATTATTGACTAGGAAGTCCTAAAGGAGATTATTATTGACCAAAAAGTCCTAAAGGAGATTATTATTGACCAGAAAGTCCTAAAGGACCTAAAGGAGGTTATAAATGAAAATGACCAGGAAATCCTAAAGAAGGATATTGTTGATCAGAAAATCCTAAAGGAGATTATTATTGACCAGGAAGTTCTAAAGGAGGATATTGTTGACCAGGAAATTCTATAGGGGACTGTTATTGAATAGAAGCCCCAGCTGGTTATTATTATGGAAAAAAATTTAATTACTATTGGTTATTAGGTGCTTGTTGTTGTTCTTGATTAGGTTATATTTATAAATTACCATAAGATGCTTATTTTTGGTAAGGTTACCCTTATGGTTAAATTTGTTAGTTTTAAAATTAACCATTATCAGAAGAATTTGGTGAAAAAGGAAATTATGCTTTGTTTTGCTCAAAATTAAAATTTTGATCTATGATAATTATTTGATAAGAGTTACCATAATTTTAGAAATTTTATCCACTTATAGGATTTTATTAATTATAAAGTTATCCTTATGCTTATTCTTAATTATATTAATTCATTTGATTCTATCCACTTTGCGCTTAGTTTGTTAGAGCATTATTCTAAATTCTAATTATTTAACTTATATAAAATTAATTACAAAATTAACTAAGTGTTCTATCCAATATTTTGCTATTAAAGAGTTTTATTTCTATCTAGAACAAAATTGCCATTTTAAGTTTATACTTAAATATGGAAATTGTTCTGATCAGATTATTGAAATGATGCAATTTAATCGTAGATAAACTTACCCATTTGGTAAGCTTAACATTCAAGATAACCATATTATTCACCTATTTTTACTCTCACTTGCATACTTAAAATATTTAAAATAATAATATATTTTTTTAATCAAAATAGCTTAATAGAATAAGGATTTAATTCAATATCATGTACTTATAATATATATTGATTATTTTAATATTTATCATCAAGCGAATATTATTTAATATTGCACATATTTAAGATTTTTCTTTTAATATTTTTTATTGCAGCTTTTATAACTTCCGCCTTTATTTTAAAATCTCATTCATCATCTCTTCAAAATTAATATAGAAGATATTTAGAAGAATAGAAATTTCGATAATACCTTTAGAAAAATATTTTAATTATGGTACATCAAATGAGGAAAAAATTTTAATTAAACTGATATAATTTATTTTATTTGCTAATATTTTATGTATCAAAATAGTTATAAATAGTATGGATAGCTAATATAAGAATAAAATAAAGATTCATCTTTATTTCCTTTATAAATGGCAATTAATTCAAAATTCTTAAACATAAATAATAATTTTTCTGCTTAATAATAATTGTAGAACAACTTTAATAATATTAATCGCACATAGAAGTAATAATTAGTAGTATAAAAGTTTTAATTAGTAGAATATATTTGATAATATAAAAAATAGTTATAGTAACATAGTTAAGAAAATAATTCATTGAATGTTTAAAATTTTAGTTTCTAGTCAAATTATTAAAGAGATAATTATCAACTAGAATATGATCCGGAACTTCTAATAATACTTTAAGATGGGCAAATTAATAATAATTCGAATAATCAGCACAACCCTTACCATAAACTCTTTCATTGAAAATTATTTTTAATAACTAAAGCTAGTAAAGTTTAATTTCTTAAGGTAATATTTATAATAATAACCAATCATCCAATCCTAAATTAAATTTATACTAAATAGAGAAGAGGATTAATTTTAATAGATAAACCAATAGAAAGAAGAAATAATAACAGATCCTAATATACCTACAAACTCAGATTATAATAACTCTATTGATCTAAATTTATTCTAAAGAATAAAGTAGCAATAAAAAAAAATTAAAATTTAGGCTCTCAGAATGAAGAATATTTATTAATATGTCAGAAAAATGAATAAGCTCAAAAAACTATAATATTACATAATCTTAAAACTCAGATAATAATTTTTAATTTAAATAGATTTATAAAAATTAATAATTTTAACAGCTTAATAATGAGGATTTCGTTAAATAAACATTATTTCAAACTACAATTTCTAAATGTTTTTATTCTTAATCTTCAATCTCTGTTAATTTAATAGGGCTAATTGCTATCATAATTATCACAAAGAATGCTTAGAAAAAATGATAAAACAGAAAATATTATCTGGTGAGGGAATTTGTAATTGTTTATGCAATAAGAAAATTCCTTAAAAAAATACCCTAATACTTTTATAAGAATTTCAAGATATTTAAAATAAATATTTTTAAAATTAATTAAATAAAATAAGACTTAATCCTGGTTTGGACTAAGCTTCTTTTTGGGGGAACTAAATTTGATCTTTTAGATTATTGATTTGTTATTAAATTTATAATTTGAATATGTTTTATTTTATTTTTATAATTAAAAAAAATGAACTAATCTTTCATTAAAATAGAAAAAAAATAGAAGTAAAAAGTAATTAATTTTTACTTTTTAAATGGTAATAAATCAATTTTATTAATTTATCAATACTTTTAAATAAGCTTTTGCATTTTTAAGCCTTCTAATATTATCGACAGGTATCATTAAGAGTGTCATTCTTGTTTTCCAAATATCGCGATTTAAGTGACGATGGAATGGTATCCAATACAAGAGATAAATCAATAGTATAATAATCATAAAAGTTATAAATAAACCTAATTTTTATGACAGATAAGAATTCTATTTAACTTAAGAGCCTTCAATAAAGCTGTCACCTAAATATCGTATAGCAGTTCTTAATAAATAAAATAAAATTACTTAAAATAAATTCTTTACATTTATTTAACTTCCTACATTTTAGAGAGTTTCATTAAATTGATTCTTAAATTGTCAGCTTGATTCTAAAAAATAATATTTTCTGTAGAATCAATAAAATCTGTTAATGGAGGAGTAGGGGTTTACATTGTTTGAGAGTAAATACTTGATATATATCTTAAATTTTCAAAGAATCTTGTTAAAGCAACCGTGAATCCACTTTTAACACTAGTTTCAGCAAAGATTTCGCAATCAGTAATAGTAATATTGGCAATTTCATTTAATCTTTGACATGGATTGGAAAACATGATTGTATTATAAGCTTCAATGTAAACTTTTTCATGTTTTTCAATATTGGCTGAATGTTCTTTGTGGATAGTTGAATCTAATTAATAGAGACGATATAAATTTTAATATTGTATTTAAACCGCAGGTTTACTTTATACTTCTTGATAGGAGTCAATTAAGACAGTTTATTAAACATTATTACAAAATGCATAGAAACCCTCAGCCATAATAGTAGAATTAGCTTCATAAATTAATTATCTAAAATCACTTAAGTTTTATTTCTAAAGTACTAATTGCATAATGAAATATGCTTCCATAAATCCAGCTATAAGAATTACTTAAATATAAAATTTAATAGGGGCTTTAGTTGTATTTTTGAATTTTTTCTTTTTCTTTTTTTTAGAATCAATAGCTGCCATATCGTCCTGTTCAATTTAATGTTCAAAATCTTCATCTTTTTCACTACCTTCTCCATCAATAGAATTAACATATTTTACAAATGCTTCACACTTGTTAAACAGAGCTTTAACTACTTTTGATGGTAACTCTAAAAACATTATTATGACTTATTCTTTGGCTAATCTAGTAGACAAAAGTATGATAACTACAATAGCTAAAGAAAGGGCTAAGATAACACCAGCTACAACAACAATTATTACAAAATTTGTAGATTTATCCGCTGTTTTTGAAATGAAATCATTTATTGTATATGATAACACATTTAATTATGCATCTAAATAAGAATTGAATCCATTCTAAATAGTAAAATAGATTGCAACATCATCAGAATTTAATGAAATCTATTCTAAAGGATAATTCATTATTGTTAAAGCATAACTTAATAATTGATTTGAGGCTTCTTGAAAATCAAATGATTAACTATATGTCTTATTGAATTTCATATCTATTTTAGGTTCATTATATAAGGTTCTTAGATCAGATGGAAATTCATATCCACTTAAAATAATGTAATTTAATCCTTCTTAGATATAATCAATACTAGATTTCATTTCACTTTTTAAAAATGTTTCGTTTTAATTTATTTATATGGTATTATTACCATATAATCTCTGATTAAGTAATTGCAAATCTCTTATATTCTCTAATAAATAATTCCATTCAGCAACTAAATTGGTTTGAATATTATATACTTCAAGGGTTAATTGGATATCTTACAATTAATTGATCTTAATAATGTATATGAATATTTACATCTAAAAAGTAATCAACAAATGCCAAAACAAGCATGGATAATGTTAAGAAAGTTTCAGCAATTCTTATAAATCTAATAGGAAATGGAGTTTCATTTTAATTTATTGCTTATTCTAATTTTGTTCTACTTTAAAAAGCATCCTATTCTGATTATTATTCTTCTGAATCATCATACAATAAATTTTAATTTACACCTTAATATTAATTACCTTCATATTCTTGTTCTTCTTCTTCCATTACTTAATCATCATCATTTACTATTTCTCCTACTTTATTTTAAAATAATCTAACTGTTCTAATACCCTCATCATATCTAATTTTATTGCTTGAAACTTAAATTTCATTAAATTTAGGAGACCCTTCTTATGAATCTGTTTTATCTTATTTATTTGATATGGTTATATCCAATTTTTAAGGAGTTAAAAAACTATCATCTATCTTTGATTAATCTATTCTTGAACCTAAATCAGAATAACTAGGTAATTCTTTAAATAATCCATCTATGTACATTGTATTTTCCTCATCAAATTTACATTAGAATATAAATTTATTTTAATTCATTTTTAACTTCCTATTATCCATTAATTAGTTACCAGATTTTTTTGATATTATTGAACTATTCAATTAAGAGGCAGATAAATCTATCTTTTCGAATTTGAAGCAATAGCCAGCTGGAAAATTAGCATAAGAAAATGAAATCTCTTAACAATAACATTATAACTAAATTGGTTTATCATCAATTCCTTTATGTATGAAATCTTTGTCCTCCTTTTTTCTAACACTCTCAATAATTTTTAAGATTTCCTTAGGAATTTTATAAGAAACTGTATTTCCTTATTTATTTAGAAATTAATCCTTATCAGTTATTTATGGAAATAGATCAAAGAAATTTCTTTTAGCTTTTATGTATCTTAAATCAAGTTTTAATAAACTTAAACAGCCAGTACTGATACCTTCGATTTGATTTTTGGGATTGACTAAAATAAAAGCATTTTATTTATTGAATTTATCTTAAGTAAAAGTTCCAAGAAAAGAAATTCCATTTTTAACAGAGTTAATTGGTTTGATATTTAAGTTCATTTAGAATAAATATCCAGATTTATTTTTACAGATGACTTATCTATCTTTACTAACATATTTATAATCAGAATTGTTGATAAAATCCTCAACAAATCTATCATGTGATTTACCAATCATATCAGGCATTAAAATTTATATATTTTAATTCATCAATTCACTTTTTGTATAATGAAATAATGCTGCTCCACTAGAATTGATTTGTTAGATTAATCCAAATTTTTCATTATCACTAGATAATACAATAGTTGGTGTTGGATCATTGCTAAAATCATGATTGTCAATATCATCAATCTTACTATTATTATATCCTTAAATCATTTTACGTAAAGTATCATTTAGACTAACACCATATTCTTTATCATTAAGAATTTCAATTAGAAAGACTGAATATAACATAATACTAGGTTAATGATTAGGACACACTCTTTTTAATTTTAACCATAATTCTTAAACTAATCTAATACTATCTGTAACATTTTTGCCACTTACTTCTAATTTAGCTACATCAGGAGTATCTTCATTTAATTCTGACCAATATTCCATATGAAGATAAGCACATTTTTCAATTTACATAGCTAAACCACTAATAATAGGTGGAGCTGCTGAAATAGGTAGGATTTCATGATTGGATATAGTTTTTTCATTTTAATCATCCTAGATTTCACTTTCAACAATTCTTTTATACTTATATAAAACAAATTAAGTGTCTAAACTAGGTTCACATTCTTCAGCCTTTTATAATTCTTATAAAGCTTTATGTTTATACGACATAACTTCTAATAAGAAGAAAGCATATTAAATTCTCAAATCTACATTCTTTTCAAACTTTTCTAATCCTTAATCCAATATTTTATAGAAAGTAAGAATTAATAATGCTTGCTTATCATTTTTCACTTCAGAATTGTTCTATTTAATTTATTAGATTAATCTCTTATTCCATCCAGGTTTATACTTTTTTAATGGGCAATCTAATTTTTCACAGGTTTATCTATGTACTTCTATATACCCATCTAAAATAACTGCGTATTTAGTTTAATTTTATAATCTTAAAAGTGTCAATATATATCTAACTTGAGATATAATTTCTTCAGCACTATTCAATTTATTAACATTTGTCACTAAACTTTCCAATTGTCTGTCCCTTTAAGTTAAAACAATACTTATAACAAATGGAATTCCAACTAACCATGCAACTATAGAACCACCTATCAAATTACCTTCCATTGCTGTTGCTATTGCTAACATAAATACACTCCACATTAATAATGAAGATAATGTAGAATGATATCTTGTAAATAGAAAACTGTGATATTAAGTTCCTAGAGAAAATGCAAGGAATATAATTAAACTACCACCTAATGTTATTACTAATAATATATAAGTGAAGTTTTGATCATGCATTATAGAAAATGCTATCTCCTATACAATAACATAACTCTGCATTATTGCATCGGCTCTACCATTTATCTTTGCTGTCAAATCATTTGCTCTGAATCTACACTCAAAATATGTGAATATTATTGTCATTGATAAAACTATATATAAAATCAAATTTAAGAATGCAACTACGCAATATCCTATATGAATTGCAGTAAAACATTATAAATCATAAAATTTACTTTATCCATCTACATCATCTATACATTTCCATGCAGACGTATTGTAATTTATTATTGGCATAAAAAATACTGTTATCAATAATAGTAACATAATCCTCAATATTGAAGATGCTGCTCGATTTATGTATGAACTTGTATGATATTAATATCCAAAGTATATTATTATACATATTAATGAAATGAACAATCCTGTCTGAATCAATAAAAATATTACATAGCTCTACTAACTAATGAAATACACTTTCAAAAGCAAATGTTCTATCAATATATTAATTGCATTCGATATTCCATCATTTTACCAAACATAACCTATTTCCTCTCTAAACATATAACTATGCAATTGTATATATTGAATCAAATTCAAAATTGCCAAAAATACTGCATTCGTTTTCGACTCCTTTTATAAAATATACAAGAATCCAAATATAAAGTTCTTAACAAAATTACTCACTGTTTACAGTAATGAATTATCATCGTAATTCTTTAAATTATTCATTAAAATACTTTACTATAAATTTTAATTATTTCAGACAATTTTTCTTTCAATTCCTATTTAAAATACTCAATTCAAAATAAAACACCTTATTTCCCTTTTTACGCAAACTCGTTTCCTACTACTTACAAAAAAAAAAACTTTATCAGAACTTACGAATACATTATTTTCCAAAAAAATTATTAAAGAGTTCCTATATTGAAATTTGGTTAACAATTTTAATCTTGCTCAACATTAAACAAAAACTATTTTTAGGTATTTTTAGTTACCTTAAATATAAAAATTTCATTAATTTATTCAAATTAATCGATCTTTGACAATGATTTAAATATTGTCAGAAATTTTTATTTTATTACAAGCTTCAGTTAAATATCATCGAATTAAAAAAGGCATTATTATACAAATATTTTTTATTATAAAATGAATATAGTTATATTTAAATTAATAAGATGACGACAATTTAAGAGCTCGTTACTGCAATATTTAATTTAGTAATAATCCAATAAAACTTGTGAGATTGTTAGTGATGATGACCTCTAGACAAGAAATAGATACTATAAATCAAGTAGTTTAATTGAACAATTAAGAATAATAATTGAAATAGTAACTCAATTTTAACATTAAAAATCATTCTAAGATTATCAAGCTCTTGAAAAACAACTTCAAAAATTTGAATTTGAAGTAAGGAATCAGATTAGGGTATTTTAATTACTTTCTATTAAAGGATGAGTATCTAATGCAGTAGAATTAAGAAGATTTAATATCTAGACTAGAAGAAATGGAAAAAGAAAAAAATGAACTGTTTAGCAATACCAAATTAACAATTATTGTAATATATATATTTATATTCAGAAATTAAAAAGAGAAAATGAAGAATTGTATTAAAAAGTTAAATAATTAACTTATGAAAATTAATAACACAAAAATCTGAATGAAAAATTTGTTCCTCATTTAGAAAAATGGAAAATGAATGATCATCTAACACAAGAATCTACAAAAATTAGTTAGAGTAAATATTCAACAATAGAAAACCATAATTAAAAGATAATCAAATTAAAAACGAATAGTTCTCCTAAAAAATTACATACTGAAACATCTGTCGATATTTCTCTCATTGCAGCTGTTAATTAAAAGAGATTAAGTTAGTAATTGATTAAACCAAACTATTTTTAAAAAAAGGGAACACTAACATAACATTAATATATAAAAAATAAAAGGAAATCATGTGCATTAGCAAATTAATAGTTGTATATATTTTTATCCTATAATAATAGAAATTTTTTAACAGCAAGCATGTGAAATTTATTTCATTTTTATTTTTTGATAATTTTTTTTTAAAATGTTACTTTAGAAATTTAATTTTATTGTTAATTTTCTGGTTTGCATTAATGAAAATCTGTAAAATTAAAGATAGTTATTTTAGGACAGTAATAACATATTTTAAATCTCTATCCTAAACTCATAGGAAAGAAGTCAATTTCAAATTTACAATTATCATCATGTTCAATCTATTTACAATTCAAACAAAATTTAAAATTACATTATAAACATTAGTAATATTGCTATCCATTATATATAAATTCTTAATTGCATTATGGATTAGGACAACATGATTTACAAGATATGGAAATCTTATCAAAAATTGATTCTTTAAGATTGATATTTAGTTCATTTTAACAACCAGGACAAGTATTATTACCTTCTTTATCCAAATATAAATAGAGACATAAATTGTGAAATAAATGTTTGCATTGTTAAATTTAACATCTTTCTTCATCTTAATCATTGATGTAGAAATCACAAATACTACAAACTTACTAATAACAAATTTTTTTTTTTTCATAGGTAACAATTTGATTTGTTTAATTTTTTAAATCTTCTTGATATAATTTCTTTTCTAGAATTTCTTTGATCTCTGAAAATACATTATAATTCTAAAGATATAAGCTATCATCTTACTTCTTCATTAAGAAATTTATTAAAGAGATCCGATTTTTTGAATGGAGATTACCCTGAATACTCTAATTTTTAATTAAAATCATATAAGTAATTTGAAGCCATCTTAGCCTGGCTATCTGTATTGATTATTCTAATATTTTTTAGCATATTTACTTTCTACCCCATGCTACTCCAAGTATAAATGAGTCTATCATTAATTCTTTGCCTCTATTTCCTGATTCAGCTATTATTTCTATTAGATTAATTATTCGATTATCCATTCGAATTATAAATTTATTAATATCTATAATGTTAATTATTCTTCTTATTATTGAACTCAAGGATGACTAATGGCTTTCTTTGCTGCCATTCTACTTTTTGAATCATATGTAACTAATTTACTAATGAAATCTTTTAATTCACAAGAGAAAGAATCAGGCATTTTTATGATTCCATCTTATATCATTTATTGTATTTCATCTTATCTGAGATCTTCCCATGGAGTTTCGCCACAACACAATTCATAAGCTAACACTCCAAGAGACCACATATCAGTACTTTTATCATAGTTCTCTCCTCGAACTATCTCTGGAGATAAATATGCCAAAGATCCACATTAAGTTTGTCTCTGATCCTTAGCAGAAGAAACTGAATATGTAAAATCAGCTATTTTTATTTGATTCTAAAACAAATATTAAAATAGATACATAACATAAAAATATATTCTCTGGCTTTAAGTCTCTAAGAATTATACCATTTCTGTGTGAATAGATCAAAGCACATATAATCTATAGAATATATGAAGATGCCAATTTTTCTGGGAAACTATATTCTGGTATACCTTTCAGGATTTTATGTATTTAACCATTTGGAAAATATTCCAATACTAAAACTATTTCATCAGCTAAATTTTAATTAAATTACATTTCTATTTTAAAGAAAAGTACATAATTTGACTATGCCTGGATGATTAAGTAAATATTATATTTTTATTTCTTGGTCTATGGATTATGACATTTCTAAATTTAAGTCTACTTTATGATTTTTAAGGCTACATGATAATTTGTAGATTCATCTAGAGCCAAATGAACATTACTATATCTTCCCTTACCTAAAAATTGTAAAATTTAAAAATTCTAATATCTTGGTTAAGTAATGTGTGGTATTAGTAAGGGGAGATTGCATTCTCAATTGTTGAGATTCTGTGACATTTTGTGACATTTATCAAACTATGGTGTCTACTTGAAGCTGATCGATGTTATTAGATTAAAGAATTCATAAAATATTAACGTTATAAACACAATAAAATGTATTAATAATAATTATAATCTGTAAAATAATTAATTGATAATTACTTGAATAGTAAAATTATAAATCTCATATAAACAAACTATTTTTATATGAAGATAGCTTAAGAATAATTAATAAAAATTAGGAATTGTATTTAAATAATAAAAAAGCTAGATTGAAATATAAATAAAATTATATTAAAAATGGCTAACGTTGCTTTTTTAGACCCTTTGAAGAATGAACCAAATCTTCAGACAGCATAAGATGTGGATGATTATATAAATACATTAACTTAACATTAAAATGCATGTGAAAAGTAAGGGAAATATATGGAGGCTGAAGATGCAAGGAAAAGAATAATTGAGTTAAGGAATCAACTTATAACAAAAAAAAAGAAAGAATTAATAATAAATTGGTAAAACTAGAAGGATTAGGCTGAAAAGGCATATATGGAGGAATATAATTAATTCAATTAATTTTGGGATAACAAGATGTTAAATTTTAATGAAGAGGCGAAGTAAGTAGAATAGGAATTGTAAAATCGATAGTAGAATGAATAGAAGCAATTATAAGAGGAACTAGAGAGAACTACTCCTCAAAAACCAAAGGAATCTTCAGAAGTGTTGAATCTAAAGAAAATACAGGAGCACTTAGCAAAACAAAAAAAGTAAAATTTAATTAAAGATTAGTTATGTTGAGGCACATGCCATATAAAACAAGCGTGCTCAGCTAGAAGAGGAAGAGCATAAGATATATACTATATCTAGGAGTTAGAAAATTAAATCATAATTACAACTATTAGAATAGAGACATTTAAATGAGTTGAGTGCATTGTAATAAAGAATAAAAGCAGGATAAGATGAATTAAGGAAGAATAGAAGCATAGATTTAGAAAGGTATTTTATAGAATGTAAACTTATACCTGTAGGTTGCTATAAAAGTATCAAAACACAAAAAAAGATTTAGAGTAGAAAGAATAAATGGACATTTTAGCATTTGATGGATAATTTAAAACAAAAGGATGTAGTAGTTAGAGTACTTATAAGAGTGTAATGATGATGGCTAAAAAATGATGATTGTGCATATTGCCTTTATGTTTAATACTTGATATTCATTTTGTAATTTAATATGATCTAATTTCTTATAATAAAGCTCTTGCTTCTGGGTCTTTAGCAAAATGATCTCTTACAGGTTAAATTAATTCATTAAGAACTTAAATTACTGCAGGTTTCAAATCCCCTGGATGAAGGGCTCCTGATACAAAGTCTGCTTCTAGATCTGCATATGATGCATATTCTTTATCTCCACCATTTTCAGGTTTTCTTAAAATCTTAAGTTTATTCCTCCATCCAAAAATGATTTCCCTTGTATAATCCAATACAGGATTATCCTGAATAATTTAAGGTGGACAGTAAGCTTTCTTAATTTTATCTCTAACAGATTCTGCTGAATCTTCCATAAAAATAGCTGAATTAACATCAGATTTAGACATTTTAGTTTATCCTTCTAATAAACCCATCATCATATGATGAGACATTATAATTGGCTTATAAAGATCTGTTGATTTATCAGAATATTCTCTTGCTAACATATTAACTTTTCTAAAATATTTAATAGAATAATAATATTACCTTTAATCCATACCTAATTAACAAATATCTGCTTCTAAAAAGAAGATGTCATTGCATTACATACATGGATAGAACAATTAAGCAACTGCAGTCTTATCATCTTATTCATCATCATTTCTACCCATAATTTATCCACATTTTTTAATTCTTGTTACATTAAACTTTCTAGCCAAATCCAATACTCCTAACCAATAATCATTTGGTCTCTTATTTATTTCATCAGATGCCCAAAGGAATTTACTTAGTTATAAATATTGTATATTACACATTATGCATTTTCATTCCTGCAGCCTTCCATACTTCTATAAAATATCGCCCTACATTTCTTATTTTATTTAAATCTCCTCCCATCTTATTGTTAAGTAATGCAAACCAGTCAGCCACCCAAAATATAAATATACATCCTGCATCTACTAATCTATTCACATTCAAAGCTCTAAGTAATCCTTAAGCTATATGCATTCTTCCACTTGGCTCGAATCCATCATAACATATAGGAAATTATTTTGTTTTCAAAACTCTTATTAATCCCTCTTTCTCTATCAATTCTTCTGCTATTGGCTCTATTAATTTCAATTTCTCCTCTAAAGACAATCTTTCAAAATTTTATCATAATTTACCTACTAGGTCTTGGATTAAAGTTTATATTGATATCCTTTATCTCAACATACTTCACCTTATTCTACTCCTTTTACTCTTTCTATTTTTATCCTTCTACTTCCCATATTAAACCTCCTGTTAGAGGATCCACTGTGGCAAACATTAATAATTAAATTAACTAAATTAAATCATTTAAATCATTTAAGTATAGTTTATGAAAGAATTTGTTTCACTTTCTAAAATATTTCTAATTATAAGATTTTTCTTAAATTCATTGCAATCATTCTATTTTTATATTGAACTAATTTCTTCATCTAATTACTTTTTGTCTTATATCTCAATTATACCACTTTTTTATTCAACTAAAATTAAGTTTCATTAATTGATTTTATTTTAATTTATTTTCTTTGTAGATCATTATTTTTCAAGTTATCTCTAAGCACAATGACTTCATCAAGTCAATAAGAAACTACAGGAATTACTTTAAATTTGTAAACATATTTTATGATTTCTACACTTCCTATTTAATTATTGTAATTTAATTTATCATAAACAGAGCTTCAAAATTATTACTACTTCTTTATCATCATTTATCACACTATATAATTTCATTATTGCAAGATATTTCATTTGAGATAATATTATTATTTCTTGTGCATTTTATTTGCTTTAAAATCTATAACAAGATAATTTTTTTTTTTCTTATAAAAAATATCGAAGACAAAAGATAACAGTCTTAAAATTAACAAATAAATGCCTTTTTTGTTTTACAGAAAATTAAGTAAAACCATTGAGAAATTGTTTTAAAATATAGATGATTTAGTAACGTCTTATATGATTGAAAGATTTCTGATTAGAAGTGGGTTTAATGTAATAAAAAATTAAGGGGTTCTATCCAATTTCTTATAAAGTTTATTTTATAATAGTTGAACGATTTTTTTTTTCTCTTTATACTCAATAAATTTTGTATTTCCATCATTAAAAAATGATTTTATTCTCGCCTACATATATTTATTAAAAATTGATATTAAAATATCAATACAGGTCTCGTAGCTCAGTTGGTTAGAGCGTCAGTCTAATAAGCTGACGGTCGAGGGTTCGATCCCCTCCGAGACCATTTTTTATAATTTAAATAAATTTATATCTCATTTGTTTATTAATAAAGATTTTTTATATTCGTAGTTTATGATAGAGTTCATCTCATTCTATTTTTAGCTGCAATATCTCCATATTCTTCTTTTATATTCGAAAATTTATTTAGTAATTCATTTTTTAAAGGTATTCTTAAATTTATTTATTCCTATGATTTTTTAAGAGCATTCTCTTCTTTCAATTTCTAATGATTTTATTAAAAAGAATTTTATCGATTTATGATGTAATAAATAGGGCTATTAATAATTAATGTTAAAATTTATTCATTTTATATATGGATAGATATCTAATTGTTTCTTTGGCTCATTCTTAAATGAGTCTACTTGTAGTTTATTCAGTTTAAGAAACATTAACAACACTATGAGAATTATTAATTTAAGAATCATTTTATTCTTCTGAATTATTTGATTAAGAATAGTTTATAGAATTAATTGAATGAGTTTGATCTTATTTTATTTTTTTAAACAATATTGGAAATGGATACAATTGAGAAATTTTTTTAGTAATTCTGTTAACTTCAGATGATATTAGATTCACTCTGAAATCATACTTAGTAATTAATTCTTTGAGAATATTACTTAATTTTTTTAGAACTATTCGAATTTCATTAGTTATCAGATTATATGTTATTAAATACTTGGCAACATTCTAGCAGAAACTCATAATCATTAGTTCTAAAGAATTCATGTCCTTCTTAACAATTGACCTAGTTTCTCATTTTCTTATTCAAGCAGTATGGTTGAGTCTTTCTATAATAATTACATGCATTATTGTGTATTTTATTGATTTCTTTTATACAATAAATCTGGTCGTTAGAGTTTTTCAAAGTGAATATCTGAAATTGTAGTTTAATTATTTTTTTTCATTTATTATTATATTTTAGGTTATCATTAGTTTTATGCAATTTCAATCTTAGCAAAATAGTTAGTTAGGATTTATAAAAAGCTTAGTTTAGAAGACATAATCAATATTTTTATATTATAAAATTTTGAGTAGTTTTGTCATTACAATAATTATGATAAGCAAAGAACATGAAATGATTTATATTTTTATATAAAAAACTGAAGGATTCCAATAAAAACAAATAAGATGATATTTCATATTATTTTTAAAAGGTTTCCATAAAAGTTGATAAGAATTGAATAAAATAATTTGCTTATTGTTTACTTGACTTGTATATGAATTTGTGATTAATTGGATAATAATAATCAATAATAATAATATCTGGATGGATATCTGGAATATCTGCTATAAGCTAATGAATTTGATAATGGTTAACGCACAACACTAGATCTTTCAACAGGAACATAATCAACTGCTTCATCATATCTCTCAACCGGAACATATTCAACTCTTCTTTCAAGTCTTGGAACTGGTACATAGTCTCTATAATGTTCGACTTATTTATGTCAACATCAATTTACTTTCCACATAATCTGTATATCTTCTTTCTACTGGTTTGTATTCAATTCTTTGTTCTGGAACATATTCTGTATATCGTTACTCAACAGGGATTCTTTCTACCCAGGAATTTCCTAATTTATTTAGCAAATAACTATACCTCTTGGTGGAGTTGATGTGTAGTAAGGGGAAACATATGAACGTGTAGGAGAATACTATTGTGGTCTTACATAAGATCTGTATGGTGAATAGAGGTAACTCATTTAAAACAAAATAAAATTTTATTGAAAGTTAATTCAATGTCCATTAAAGACATTTAAAAACTATAATCTCTATTTCAAATTAATAACACCGTTGTTTAAGAGTATTTAGGAATCAGATTCATAAATTAAACTCTAATTGATTAAGTATTGCCAACATGATTACATATGTAGTTAGTGAATAGTGATAGTGCTAGTGAAATTTACAAAATCAAAAAAAATGAAGGCTGCAAAGATTGGGATAAATTGAAACATAAACTATTAGCCTATTTTGTAGCATCTCAAATGACTTTTGACAAACCTATTCACAAATACATTTAATAGGCATATGAAGACTTTCTTATTCAATATCATATTTTTTATGAAGGTTTAATCGAATTTCAAACTTGTACTATGCTAAATCAATACCTTATTATTAAGCAAAAATTACAAAGAAATGATTAGAATCTCAAATCAGAATTTCGGAAATTAGTTAATATGTTAATATGGAAGACCAATCAATTGCATTTTCTCATTAGAATTATAATCGGTTATATTGGCTATGTCAAAATTAGTAAGTAAATTGGTAATGTTGAAAAAGTCTTTGAATAAATTTCTAAGTTAATTGAAAAATCTCTAAAAAATGGTGCTAATTATCATCATTTTTTATTCAAAATGGATATTGAATTATTCTCATCTTATTGGAATAAAATTATTAGAATTAGTAATAATGAAACTAATGCTATTATTCTAGTTCAATTATTATAGTAATCTCAATTCTATTTTAATGATTATAAGTATTAGAGTGATATCATTACAACACTCAAAGAATTATAAAAATCTAAACTTTCCTTCAACTCCAATTCTTAATTATATGAAGATGTTTAATCAAAGAATAAACAGAAAAAACCTATACTCTAAATTAATAATTTGATGCCTGAAGAATTTCCCAAAGATTCTACAAAATCTAAAAATCGATTTTTAGATTTAGGCAAAATACTTAAGACAGAATAAACTTAAACATCAGCTACAAGTAAAAGAATAATTAAGACTTCTGCCTCTAAACTTCTTAATTCTTAATATAATCATATTGAAGAAGATCCAATATTCTAAATTTAAATAGAAAATTATCACATTAATAAAATAGTAAGAAAAGGTTGTTTTAAAATATAAAAACCAGTTACCTTATCTACTTGCACTTGTATTTATATATATTATAATATAATAGAGAGATATAAAACTTAACCTTCTGCTTAAGAGGAATTACCTATACTTACATTCTAAGACTTTGAACATGATCATCAAGATTCCATTCTTGAATTACCTTCACCTGTTAAACCAGCAACTGAATCAGATCATAAAGTGTCTGGTAAGGATCATAGTATTTGTCATTCTTAATCATCTTAAGGAAAAATAGATAAATTAAATAATCTTAGTAATCCTTATAAATTGAAGAATTTAATTAGTTCTAGATTTTAACAAATTTTAGATATAGCTTAACTTAGTGCTTCATCAACTCCAAAAAATGCAGATCTAGCCAAATCTATCAAAAGATAAAAAACTATTTCAATTAAAAAAGAACACAAAGAACTTTAAACTTAGCCATAATAATTTTCAATTCCTCTTATATAATAAATACCTATATAAAAAGAAGCTGATCAATAGACTTCAGAAAGAAGAAGAAGTGGAATGGTTGTAAGTTCACCTGATGCAGTTTCATAAATTAGTTTAGCTATTTAAAAATCTAGTTAAGTAGAGATACAACCACCTAAATCATAGATTATAATTTCTTTACCATAATAAATCTAATAGCAATTACAATAAAATACATAATAACCTATATAACTTAATCCTAAACGACCATAAAGAAGGAACATTTTAACATTAAGGACTGCAACAACCTTTTTTATGGAATAATCTAATGCTTACATTCCAAAATTTTAATTCTCTTTGTGTTATCATAGTAGAACTATTTAATGGTAATGTGGCTTATAAATGACATCATCAGATAACATTCTTATTGGATTTTAAGATATAACTAATAATTAAATTGTGTACAGGGCTTAACTTTAGAATTTATAAATTGAAAGTACTAAAAATTGGGCTCAAATCATTGAAGTTTTCATTAATGAATATCAATTATAAACATCTCAATGCTTACCCTATTTACGCTATAATTCAGTAATGAGCAATAGGAAGATAGATAACTACAATTTTATCTAGTTTCCAAACTATCAGTTTGAATTGACAAAAAATGAGATAGAATAAATGGGAATTTTAAAGGATTTGTTTAGATGGATGTATACTACTTATTTATTTGAATAAATCAATATTACTGGCATTAGATTAAAATTATATACATTAGAAAAAGACAAAACTTTGAATGCTTATAGAGAATTAATTAATGTTGTTAATCTCTATAGAAGAATGATAATATAATCAACTCTCTGTGATGAGAAAGAGAAATTCCATCTATTGATTCGCAGCTTTGGAGGTATTTCTCTGTAATAAATTTTTATAGAATGTATTAAAAATAATATTATTCTTTTGAATAGGATTTTAAATTTTAAGGTGAACAAATAAAAAGATTAATAATATATGATTCATAAGTAATTAGTAAACTTTAGACATTTAAGTATAACAAATGATGAAGAAAATATATTTTTTATAATTAAAGTCAGTATTATATTTTAGAAAGAAAAGTATAAATAAATATATTATGATTTAGCATTTTGTATTATAAAAAAAATGATTACCATACAAAATATTAAGTAGATGTATTATTTGAAGCAATTGATAGTCCAGTAAAAATTAAATCTCTTAGATTATAATTTGATGCTATTGAAAAAATCTTAGAAAAAAGATATCACAATAATTTAAAATAGATAATAAATTAAATATTTTTTTCTTAAAGAAAAAGTTTGAATATGTTTTATGAATTTATAGATCAAAAATTGATGATAAACGAATAAAAGTAACTTTAAGTTAGAATGAATATATTTTCTTTGCATGATGCTTAAAAAATGGAAGCTTGTGGAATGAAATTAGGATTTCTCATAGATTTGTAAACAAAGGTAAAACCATTTGCAATTACTGAAATAGAACGATACATATATGATGATACCTAAAAAAAATTGGATTATAAATCTAAATCCTAAACTATTCATAATAGAGAGCATATGTTCGATAAACATTTTGCTTAAATATTTGGAGAAGACGTGGCCAATAATGAGTAATAACATTTTCATCAAACTACTTTAATTGATTTAGTAAAACGATACCAACCAAATATTAATACAGAAGCAAAATAGGAAATAATTACTAAAAAAGTTGGTCCGATAGTAATTTACCAAGAAAATCCTTTTACTGATGTGCACAATGATGATTTAGAAAAATTGTAGTCTTAATTTTTTTGCAGATAAAACTTATAACTTAATAAAATCCTAAAGTATAGAATCAAACTAAAACATCTTGCAATAAAAATATCTATTTTAAAAAAATAAATTATTTTAATATATCATCATAACTAAAGATTTCAAAGATTTTAAATAACTCCTACTGATGAAGAAGACAATTTATTTTAGAATATACTATAACTAATATAAAATGGTCCTAATTGTTGGATTATTTAAATGCTTTATAAAAAAATAAGCTAGAGAGTTTTAAAATAATCATTTATTAGTTCTTAGTTGTATGATGGATTAGAACTTTTAAAATATAAGAAATCTAAAAGCTAATTAGCAGAGATACCTTCATATAATGTATTACATTATTATATCTTAAACAATTATATGGTTTTGTTAAAATATTTTACTTTGAAACAGTTTATAATAGTATAAAAGATTAAAAACTATGGAAAATACTAAATAACAATTAAGGTGTTTTTTAGATGCTAAAAACCAGATATTTTAATTGAAAATGATTATTTTTTAATGAGGATAGATTTTTAAAATATAATGTTAAAAACTGGAATGATGAAAATGATATTTAATAAATATGACATCACTGAAATGTTGAAAATAGACATACCATAAATTATGACAGATGCAAATATAGTTTAAACTGCAATGAATATATTTTAAAAATGTCATTTAGGAACATTTACATTAAGTTAAGTTCCATTTTTTTCAATAAATCCAGATGATTTAAAATAAAATGAAAGTTAAATAATGCAAAATTCATATGAAGATCACTCAATTAAAATTAATGTTCAATAAATAAGAAGAATTGGTAATTTCCCTGAAAACACAACTTTCAAAAAGTCAGATCTCTGTAAAGGATTTTTAGAGCATTATATAAAAAATAGTAGATTAATTGTTAGTCATATAAAAAAATGTTACTTAATACATTCAATATCAACAGGATAATTGATAAAAATATCAAATAATAAAATTACTTAATTATTAAATGACTAACATCAATTAAGTGATTATGTTATAATTTAAATATATAAACATTTATTGCTAGAAATATGGATTGTTAAAGTTTATGTTCCAAAAACAACTAGATAAATGGTAGGTTTGTTAAGATCAGAAGATTTCAAAGAGAATGATAGTAAAGATTTAATGGACAGCATCATAATATATAAAAAATAAGCAATATTAAGTTTTAAAGATTTAGATTCCTTTACAGATTTTACCCCTAGATAGAGTGTGAATTTTTAAAAATCAAATCAACGATTGAGTCAATATAAAATATCTCAATTACATTCACCAGCAGGTTCAAGTATTCAAGCACAAAATCAAATGGGATAATCTTAAGTTACTGCTTATTATTTATATGATTTTTTCTCTCTTACTAAATTAGTCACTGATTTCACTGAGTACCATTTGGATAATGGAAATAAAGAATAATATATTATAAAGGAGAAATTAATTTGGATTAACATTATAAATAATAATTTCTCATTAGAATAACATCCCAAATAATAAAATTGTTTTTTGTCTCTATTATTTGATTAGAAGGAAATCAATCTTTAAGAACTACTATTCTAACGTTATATTAGAATAGAAAGAGTAGGAGAATCCCACATTGAATTTTATATGAAGTATTCTTAAAAAACTGATTAATTAAAGGGTATTGCACTTTTAAAAGGAAAAATAAATCAATTAAATTTGCATAATAACAAATTTCCTAGTATAATTAGTGAAGCTAAATTCAATGAAGAGTAGATTAAATTTATGAAACGAACTTGCATTTTCTTTCCTTTCGATGCCATAAACTATGCTAATACATCAAATTTTAATATTGAATTAAAGTATTTCTCATACAATAAATTTACTGAAGTTAAAGAACAAATAAATCTAAGAGAACTGCTAAATTTATATATAGCTGATGGTTTTTATAAATATTAAACTAATTATATGAATTCAAAACTAAATCATTCAGATATTATAAGTATATGTTATTATATGATTCATAAAATTAAGACATAAAACTTTTTGAATTTAAGCCAATACCATACAATACCTAATTTAAACTAATTAAAAACCTAGAAATAAACTAATAAAATATAAACTCCAATTAGATTTTAAATAAAAATCTTTAAGAAACCATAAATTTACATAATATCTTTATTATACAATGAAGTATAGGTGATATGTACAAATTGGAAAACTTGTTAACAAATAAATGATGTATTTTCATTTAGTTACTTAAATGAACATATAATGCATTTCAAACATTTAGTTGATAATGAACCTAAAATAGCATTATAAAGAGTAGCAAAAATAATTGATAAATTAATGAATATTATATTAATAAAATGAAATTTTTTATATTAATATTATTGATACAGCACTATTACAGTTGTGAAATCTATTACAATAACGATTTATCATTTGATTTTACTTAGACAATAGGTTCAAATATTACATTAAGTGATAAAAAAATCTTGAATATGAATATTTGTGGTTAAATTCCATTCTAATGTGTGACTTAAAATGAAAAATAAATCATGATAAGAAATGAAAAATCAACTTAAAATGTTATAATAACTGAAGATGATGAATGTGATTTTTATTCTAAATCGCATGATTATGCTAAAAATGATCTTAAACTAATAAATGAAAACAACCCTTTTGCAGGAGTGATATTAAAAATTTAAGGTGTAGAAGACGATTAGAATCTAGAACTATTATTAATTTGTAGTAATTCAGATCAATTTGAAATTTCAACAACTTGTGAATAAGATTATTGTATATAACATAATAGTGTTTGTCCAATTCTAGTAACTAATCCAATAATGAAATTTTATCAATATTTATATATACCTTTAGGTGTAATTTTTATACTCTTAGGAATTGTATTAATAATTTTTGGATTCTAATTTTTGAGATTGACAACTGTTTTTTTAGCTTTCATGATAGGAACAGCAATTTATACAATTGTATTGGGAGAGGGAGTTTTGGATTAAGATTCTAGTAGTTTTGCAATAATAATAATATTGTGTTCAGGAATAGGAGTTGGTATTATTTATGCAAACACTACTTATGTGAGATACTTGCTTGTAAAAAATAGATAATAATTTTAATTAGGGAGTATTTAATATAGGTCTTGTATTTGGAGTGGTAGTTACTCTCTTAATGGAACCATTATTTTTACACTTATTCAATAGTCATCCAATGTATTTAACTATGACATTAATAATGTTGATTTCAGGATTGATTTTTGGTTTTTTAGCTTGTAAATTTTTAAATATTTTTGGAATTGGAACTACAGCTTTAACGGGAGTATAATAAAATATTTAAAATAGAGTTATTTATTTATTAAACCAATAGGATGGTTTGCTGGGGGATATCCAAATGAAATGTATTTAGTAAAGAGGACATTTTATGGATTTGATAAATAAATAAATTTTAGATTCTACTTGTATTTTTCATCAATAATGGTTTTAACAATAGGAAGTGTATTCTTTTAATATAGATAATTGAGAAAGAGGATGAGTATGGATGAAATGTTTGCATATAAAGATATGGATTATTATGAAATGGGAAATATAGAAAAAGGAAAAAAATCAGAAGTTAAAGGATTTGCAGATGATACTGAAGTATTAATTATCTTTAAATTAAGGTTGTTATGCAATCTGTACAATTTGTTAAAAAATTAAGTGAAAAAGGTTAGAGAAAGAGTGATTCAAGTGAAGAGAATTAGTGAAATTTTAATTTTGATAATATTGTTATTCTATTGATATTTGCATTCAATTATGGAAATTCCAAATCATGAATCCTGTTGTTCCCATAAAGGCAGCCCAACCCCAAAGTTCATAGAATCCTCTATAACCAGCATGATATTGACGAATCACTTATCTTGAAATTGAACAACATATTACCTATGAGTACCATTACAAAATGGAGCATTTGCACTCGATTTACAATTACACAATTTATAATATCCAGAAGTATCAACATTAAATTTGATTGGTCTATTTCTAGTTGCAGAGGCATTACACATTCCATCACACCAAGGATTTGCTTATGAAATACCACATGAACACCATTAATAAATCTTAATTAGCTAATTTGAATTACCTTTCCTTTCTATAAATAACAATTATAAGGATAGAAACCAGCAACATAAGGGACTGATGCTGGACGATATTTTCCTTCAGGGTATGGAATGGATTCAGGTAAAAGTACAAATTTTTATTATGGGAAATCTGTAATATCATCTGGCTTTCTTTCTTTTCTAGCTTTATTTATCAATCCAAATTAAATTATTACCTGCAGGTGGAGTTATGATTTCAGGTGGTAATGTATATGGATCACGTAAATGAGCTTCCCCATGTTGAAGTATCGTTGACACAGTTCTGTATTTAGCTGCCTTCTTCAAGATTTAAGACATCCAAAATAAATTAATTAATACAATATCAATATTTAATATTTATCATTCTAATCAAGAATACCAATACATTTCTTCATTTGCTTATACAAAAAGCATTATAGAATTATTAATTACATATTGATAGACAATAAATCAATCTATTCTTTCTACATATCATATAACAATTTATATTCCTATAATACACTTCTAAAATATTCATATAAACATGTTATTTAAATTTTTATGTATTAAATCTCAACTATATTACTTTTAAAGATGAATAAATAAAATGATTAAACCAAAATCCAACATTTATTTGATTTTTGAAAAATAGATAATAAGTATTCATATGTGTAAACATGTTTCATTTTGCTTTATAGATGGGTCCATATCCTTAGCACTCAACCACACCAATAGCAAATCAAACCTTCTTGATTTAATCATAATTATTTTATTTTTATACAATAGAAAATATTAGATTTTTTTAAACAAATAATCGATCATATATAAAAGAATTTTGAATATTAAATAAGTACAAGTTTATTAATATTTTTATGAACTGGAAGAAAGAATTAATGATTTTGATTAATTTATAAAAATTTAGCAATCTCAAAATCATTATGGTGGTTATTACTAAGGTAATAAAGCTCTTAATAATAATATCTTATTAAGATTTATTGCAGTTTATTAAATAAGATCTGGTAAACCAAATTAATGAGGTTTCTCTTCTTAAACTAAATTCTCTTCCTTTACATGATCTTTATCTAGATATTGATGTTATTATTCTATAAGCATTTCAGCACTTTGAATTACATGAGTATGATGAGATCTTTGTTAAGAAATATTAGGACCTTAAATTTAAATAACTTTTCTAATAATTTTTTCTTAATTATTCTAAACAACTTCCTACTCTTTAGATTTCTTTTTTTTTCTTGGTTATTCTTCATATTCTTAATTATCCTCTTATTATGATTCATTCTTTTTCAATTATAAAAGTTTATCATAGACATCTATATATGCTTATTTAAGATCAGTTAAATCTGTAATTTAAGTAAAATTTTTAGGTAATTCAACAGGATCAATAACTACTTCAATGTCATCATTATTGAATGGTTCTAAGAATTCCTATAATTTCTTAAGATGTTATTGAAATTTACTAATAGTATTACTACTATCAACACACAATATGATATATTTTTAATCCAATTTATTATTGACATTATTATTTGTACTTTTATATAAGACTTATTAAATAGTTAAAACTAAAGATTTAGAGTCTTAAAATTTAAATACATTTGTATTGAGATACAATTTAATGCATGAACTAAATTTGATACAGAGAAATATTGGATGTTTAACTTTATGCCTTATATTGGGAGCAGAGAAATAATTATTTAATCCTTCAATAGTATTAGTAATAATTTCAGTATTTTATGGTTTAGTAGTTGTAAATTGTTTTTCAAGAGTGTTAGTAGGAAAAGGATCAAAATAAGATTGTAACTTTTATTTATTTTATTGTTCAATGTCTCTGGCTGATTTTCTGGAATCAACGAAAATTGGAGGAGAAATACGTGATATTAATATTTATGGGAATTCAAATTTACTTTAACAGAGATAAAGTGTAATTATGATATGAAATTTTTAATGCTAAATAAAATAAATGAGATACATCATGATTATAAGAAGTAGTGTTAAATTTGAGTCCTGAGAATATACATTTATTATTTTCTAAATCCATTTTTTAATTTCCCTTAACACCTACTTCTAATAGATGAAAAGTCTTCATTGGACTTACTGTTGGTTTTACAATTTAAATTTTAGCCTAAATAAAAAAAAGCTGAAATACATATATTTTTCCAGGGGGAGCAAGTTTTTCATCAGTGGTGGGATCAGTGATCTAAAATAATTATAAAAATATTATTTCATACATCTAATTCAACTCCAATATCTGGTAGATTCCAACTCTTATGCCAATTCCAACCTAATGCATTTTTATTTGTGTAAATAAAATTTCTACTCTGTTCAATTTTAAGATCAATAAGAGGATCTATTTAACCTTATTCAGATGGTATTTTAAGTTAAACTGAAGGACTTAAGTTCCAAGTTGTTTCTGTATCCTTTGATATACGTTTAACATCATATGAACATGGTATCCATTCCCATTATTTATCCTAAGGAGCCATGTCAGATTTCTAATTTTCTTACATTAAAATTATATAATATTAATGATTTCCATGTTTATTAAGTAGTGTTTAAATAATATGGATTTAGTACTTTCGCTCGCAATATCCTAGATGACCTACTTTCTAAGTCAGATATCACTTTAGAAGAAATTCTGGATGCTGAAGTACTAGATGAAATTAAATTCAATGGATCTCAAAAATTTGCCATATTGTATAGTTGTTCATCTATTGTATTAGCATTATTAAAGATGTCAACAATTACATATAAATGATTCAATATATTCATTAATTAGATCCAAACAATCTTAAGTTAAAAAGGTAATTTATGCACTCTATCTAGATATCAATTTCTCATTAGTGAAATTTTGAGTTATGATATTCCAATTTTAATTGATTATTTATTTGAACCAGAACCAAATATTCCAAATTATTAAGTTTAAGAAGCATAACGCGAATAACTTCTCCCTCTTTTATTTCAACCATTTCAAGCAGATTATCTTAACATCACTTAAGTAGGATATCTGGCCAAAATTATTGAATCCATCATTAGAAAGAGGGGTAACAGCGTATAAATTAGTGAATTCAATCTAGTTATGGAATTGGCTTGATAATAATTAATTCTGTGTGGATCATCTTATTAAACATTTAGATGTGCATCATGTGACATCCATTATTACACACTTAATCACCTATGAACATACTAGTCAAGATTTAAATTTTGATGAATATACTAACAAAAAAAATCAATTACTTCAAAGAGTTTACACAATTTTACTTAATAAAATTCATAATTCAGAACTTGTTAACAATTGTTGTGAAATACTTATTGAAATTTGTAATAAGACTTAGAAGTTTAATTAATAGATTGATTAACCATAAGAGCTTTATACAGCAGCAGTAATTATTCTTTTAATAATTAGTGTGATTCAGGATTTGTTAAATTTTTTAATGTTTTAATAACTCTTTTATAATAACATCTGTCATCGAAAAACTAAAATTATTCTAAATATAATTATGTTGCTTTAAACATGCATAGACCATTATCAAATGAATATTTAAGTTTTGGTACATTTATCAATAATATTTTTAAGCTTTCAATTCAACCTTAAATATAATCTAAACAAATTTTGGATTATTCAAATTATAAATATTGACAATATATCATTTATTTTTACAAACAGAAGATTCTGAACTTTTAAATTTAATTAATCATTCAGAAATCTATCAATAATTTTAAAAATACATAAAGAAATTTGAATTCAATAATTAACTCCAAATTCTATTCCATTAAATTACAATTTTTATTTTCAAAAATAACTCATTAAATTGGATTAAAGAACTTATATAAAAAGATTTATTTTAATTTATATCATCAACAAATACATTATAAAAATAAATTATTGGATAAATTAAGAAACCATTAAATAGAGGATATTATGGAATCTTGTCATAACTCTCTTATGAATTAGAAGAGTATGATGACTCAGAAGATTGGAATTTATATAAATAGAATGTTTTATTTCAAATTAAAAATGTTGAATAAAATTATTACTTTGGTATCAATCCTAAAGGTAATTTAGTCGAATAAATCTATTCTAACACTAATGAAAATTTATAATTATCAAAACAAGTATGAAGCTATTTAATTTAGCATGTTACTCAAATTAAACCTGATTCTATAGAAATTGAGATTAACAATAAATAAAATAATTATGAATTTGAATCAATTTTAAAAGAGAGATTAAAGTTGAGTTTTCCAATCAAAAATTTATTATCATTTTCTGATATGAATAAGAATGAAATTCCTCAAAATCCCACCCTTTAAGAAGATTTCAAATCAGTACCATTAGACTTGGATTCATTTGATGTGACTGAACAATAAAAAAAAAAGATTTGTAGTTCTTAGAATGAATTTAGTAAGAATAGTAACGAGTTCAATTCATTTTAACCAGATTGTTACTGATGTTTTTAATGTGAATCAGAGTGATATTTTATAATATTGAAAAGATTAATAAATACAAACTTGTACACATTCAAATTAATTAATTAAATGATCTTGAATAAAAAAAAGTATTAATAAATTATTGTTTAAATTTATTAAAAATCGATGTTTATAGAATCAGTTGATCACTCTACTCCAAGAACAATTGGAGATCATGAAAGTAGTTATAAATAATCGATTTAGTTACAGAGCCAGAATTTAATATAAAAATCAACTACAAACTTGAAGTTAGAAAATGTCATCTACTCTAATAGTTCCTGAGATATTAAGTAGAAAATACTCAAAAGAGCATTGTAAAGCTAGGAAAAAAACTTTCTAATGATGAGGTAATTATATATCTTGCATGTTTTAATTTAATATTTGCTCGTTATTATATTTATTTGTTTTAATTTAATTTTATTAGGTAAAAAATAAAAGGATCTCAAGAAAAAATTCATTTACAAAACCTTTCAAATGCTCAAATTGTTCCCATACTTATTCTTCAAAGGCAGCCTTAAAGTAGCATCTAAAATTCAAACATTTTGAAGATCACACTCCTTTAACTCAACCTTTAGATTTATAAAAAGTATTAGTTGAACCATTATCCTAAATATGAAATAAATTTGTTAATTTATATTTTGTATTATAAAAAAGATCCACTCAAAAAACAATTCAAATATATTCTAGAAAACAAATATTCAGAAAAATGATGTTATTCAAGAATAAATTAATTTTAAGGAAAATAATCAATATTCATGAATTTAAAATTTGATCAATTCTAATATTAATTAAAGATAACTTAAATAGTAGGGTTTTTATAGAATTCTAAATATACTAATTTATTCAATTCCTAAATATAAATAAGTATTAGAGGTTTAAAAACAATACAAAGTAGGTTTTTATAATAAATAGAGATATTTTTAAAATAGCTCAATTTAAAATTCCATAACTAATTATTTTGATAAGTAAATTTTTTGAAAAATTTCAGAAAGGCTAACGAGATTGTAAATTAACAGATTATAAAATTGAGTATATATTTTTTGAATTATATTAATTTAAAATGAATAATTAAATTTAAAAGGAAAAATTTTCAAATATTTTTCTAATTTGAGATTTTAAGTTTAAATTCTTAAAGTAGTAAATTTTATCTTGAATTTTAAATAATACTAATGGCATAAAAACACAAAAAAAGATAGACAAGATATTTTGAAGATGTTAGTTAAGAGATGTAAATTCTAATGAAAGATGTTATAATGATATGTAGAGTAGTTGATATAGGATGATTTAAAAGTGAGATTAGTTTTTCGGTAAGTAAGAATGAAAATTAGGGTAGGTTGATGATTAGTAATAAGTATAAATTAAATATTTTAAATTAATTTACAATGTTACAAGAGAGTGCTAAGATAAAACTGGCAAGTCGTCTATTTGATAGAGGAAAACAACCTTAAAGTAATACAAATGAGAGACCACTTACTGCAAAGATTGCAATAAGAGCATAGATGAATTAGACAATGACAAAGATTGAGAAGGTTTCTGATAAATTGCCTGCAATTCATGAAGAACGAAGCTTTTCTTTTTAGAAATCAGTGGGAGGAGGTTTAAATTAGATTAGAGGGAAATCATAGAATAGTAAAAATGGAACATTGATTAAATTCAATTAAGATAATGATACATTGCTTAAGAACAATAAAACTTTTGAATTAACAAATGATATATTTTTAGATGAAAGGCGATTATTAAAATCTCGATAAGTTCATGAATTAATGGATCGTATGATTGGAAGAGTGAAACCTCCAAGTCCACCAAAAGAAACTTAGAAGATTGTATAAGTGTTACCAAGCAATATTTTAGATAATACTCGTATATCTATCATAAGGGATATTAAGACAGCACCTAGAAAGACTATTCGAACTTAATAGATGAGGAAAGAAATTTTGAATAAAACTTCAATCTCTTAAGTTTCAGATAATTCAGATGAATCAAATGAAGAGAATAATAATTTTGGATTGAAAGATGTAGATGCATTCATTTAGATGATTAAAGAACACAAATTAAGTTAACAAGAATTTATGTATTTGATTAAAAGGAAAAAACATTCTAATGATGCTTACAATATGAGAATTGTAAATTATCCATATATTCAAAAACATTAATTGAATAATTTTTATACACTTTCAGCTAAGGGATTGACTAGATATGAAAATAATATTACTATTGAATTTGTATCATTAAATACTTGGTTGGAAGAACGAGATTAATTTAATGCAATAAAATCATTAAGTTTTTTTAAAAAGTTTAGAAAATGGAAAACTTTGAAAAAATGGTAGAAAATCTTACATTATCAAAGAACTTCAATTGTTTAAGGATAATTATGTGAGAAAATGTTAATTTTGAATCCAATATATTAAAAATTAATAGTCACTCATCGAAGTTTATGTTATGACATTGAATCATTAAGAATAGTAGATATAGATAAAATAGAAGAAGAATTAACTGACAAAAAAGATTAATATCTGAGTTTGTAAGAATTTAGTTTGTTATAACAGAAGTAGAGGAATAAATTAGTGGAGAAAATTTTGATCTAATCTAAAAAGATGAAAGAAAATTGTATTTCAGGTCTTAAAACTGTAATAGATAAGTTAAGAACATAAATAAATTAAGAGAAGTAATCAGATGATGATCATGTGCCATTGAAAATAGAGAAAACAACAGCTTAATCTAGATAGATTGATAAAAAATAATAAATTATAGAGACCTTTGGATTTCCAGAAAGAATGGATTATGGTCATAGAGCATTAATGAGAACAGAATTTATTAAATTTTTAAGATTAGCTTACTTATTAGATTTCATTGCTGTTTAATCTTTAGGATAGATTTACATAAAATCAGCAACAGAGTTTGTAGATAAATTAATTAAAGTTCAATAGTGTAGTAGAAATAATAGAAAATTACCGAAATTAACAGAAGATGAAGATGAAAAAAGGGATATTTAAGAATATGATCCAATTTTCACTATTGAATTAAGATTTAATCCAATAGATGGTGATCTTGATATAGAAAGATAACAAGTACCTTGGGATACTTTAAATGAAAATTTATTAAATTTTGATTTATAAGAATGTATAAGATTGAAAGAAGAAAAAGTACAGGTAAATGAGAAAGTAGAGAAGAAAAGTTAAAATAGTTAGAATTAAAATCAAGCAATGGAATTATAGGAAGATTATTTAGAGGATCCTGAAATGGTATATAAAAGGGAAGTTTAGAACCTTTATGAAACATAATTAGAGGTATATCCTTCAAAGAGAGATTTTCTAAGTAGAATTTAGGAAGCATTTTGCGATGGATTGGATTAGATTTAAGTAATAGAGAGATGGAGTAAACATCCTGATTTCTTATAGTATGTTTAAGCATTGGAAGAATGGGATGAAATAATTGGAGATAAATGGACATAGCCAGATTCAATCAATCTTAATCCTTCATATTGGATTAAAGAGCATCCAATGAACAATATATTTATGCATGAAATTTCATTAGAATTGGATTAAGCATTTGAGAAATTAGAAAACTTTTAAAAAGAATTTAATGAATATTTAAATTTGATTTGGAGATAGGAGAAGAGTGAAATATCATAATTATAAAATCCAAAATTGATGTTTTAATCAAAGATATTTGCATGCACTTTGAAGAGTGCACAATTAATCGAAAATATTTTACAATAAAAATTGATACCTTAAGTAGATATAGGTCTTTATAGAGTCAAGATATAAAATATATAAAACTAATTAAGTGCTCGACAATCATAAATATTAATATAATTAGAGGAACTATATTTACAATTGTTTAGAAATAGAGCTTAGTTATTGAAAATATGGTTAATTTAATCAATAAAATCTCTAAATATTATGGTGATAAGGATTGAGGAATTCATAGAATAGAAGAATTCTGTAGATCGTATAACTAAGGAATTGCCTTAAAAGAGAGAAGAAATAGAAACAGCTATCAATATAATAACATTAGCTCAAGATTGTAAATTATAATCATTGAAGAAAGAGGATAAGGACTTATCATAAGAATTAAATACTTTAGAGTCTTCTTTGAATGTTGCATTATCAGATGCAGATAATAATACAGCCAAAAATATTGAGAAATTTAAAAAGACATTAAAAGAACGTATAGATAAATTGAAAGGGGAATGTATGGATGTGAGTGAAGCAGTAAGTAAAGATAAATTCTTAACATTAAATACAGATTTAGAAGATGCTATAAAGGAATTAAGCGAAATTGATGCAAAGACAAAATAATTAGAATAGAGTGCTCAATTATATACTTAATATGAAGAAATACTTTAAAGTTAAGAGTAAGCTTAATATGAAGTATTAGAGAATACTAGAGAGTAATTAAATTTAAGATTAGGAATGTGGTAAGGAATTTAGGATTTCAGAAAACTATCATAAGAATGGTAATAATTATAATTCACTTCAATAAATGCAAAAGAGATAGCTTAAAAAACAGAAGGGTTTGTGAGAATTGTATAAAGGTGTGAAAAGAATTTATAAGAAAATAGAGTGATAACATATTTAAAGAAGATTGTATGGGAATTCAAAGATACTATTCCAGTAGTTACAGCATTACGTTCTCAATATTTATAATAGACACATTGGCAAGAAATAAAATAATTGGTTAGATAAGAATTTGATATAAATGATTAGTAATTTACATTGAATAAATTATTGGATATGAATGTAGCATAACATAATGAGATGATTACAGAAATTGCAGTTAAGGCAGCTTAAGAGGATTCTCTTAATAATTAATTAAAAACATTAGAGAGTTAATGGAATGAAGTAGAATTGAAGTTAAAACCATATAAGGATCAATTAGATGTAATGGTTTTAGGAGAAGTTGAAGAATTAATTCAACTATTTGATGAAGGTTTAGCTAATATGTCAAATATCTTAGCTAGCAGATATGTTAGACCTTTAAGATAAAGAGCTGAAAAGTTTTAGTCTGATCTATTATTATTATCAGATATTATAGAAAAATGGGTGGAATGTTAAAAAAAATGGATGTATTTAGAAAGTATCTTTTGTAGTTAAGATATTAAAAAATAATTATCTAATGAATCTTAATTGTTTGATAGTTGTGATAGATTGATTAAGAAAATAGTCAAGTAAGTTAATTTAAGACCTTAAATTATGAGATTGCTAGCAATGTAAAATATGTTAGATAATCTAACTAAAACGCTTGAAACTTTGGAATAAATAGAGAAATCTTTAGAAGATTATTTAGAAGTAAAAAGAGGATCATTTCCAAGATTTTATTTCTTATCTAATGATGAATTATTAGAGATTCTTTCTAAATAAACGGATATAAATTCAGTCTAATCTCATTTAGGTTAATGTTTTGAAGCATTAGTTAAATTATACTTTGGTGATTAACCAAATGTTATCTAAGGAATTCATTCTATTGATGGTGAATTAATTTAATATTACAAATCTATTCCTGCTAGAGGTAATGTAGAAACCTGGTTACATTTATTAGAATTGGAAATGGTAGAAACTTTGCGTAAATTGTGTAAATAAGGTTTGTAAGATTATTTGAATGGAATGTAAAAAACTAAAACTGATTGGATACTTAATCATAAATCACAAATT